ATATATGTATACATATATACAAATGTATATGTATATGTGTCTCGATCGGAATAAACATAGCAGCTACCTGTACAACAACAAAACAATTTCTGAGCGAATTTTCATCGCAGCCAAATGTTGGCTTTGTTCTTAAAGACGAAACAGCTTACATTGTAGCATAAAACTTCTCCTGCATTCTACATATTGGTATCATTAACAACAATTTTTACTTACACGGACCCAGACATTCGCTTGATCTCTTCATCGTTGCGAAACAAAGTGGAATGAAAATTCAATCGTTGAACTTATATCGGTTAGACTATAATGTTATGGCAGCGAAATTAATTAGCCAGTAAGCGTTATATCCTCTAACTATTCATGCATTTTCAAGCTTAATAAACGCGCAAACAATGTGAACCTATTCCCGAAGACTCCTGACGCACGAGTGCTAACGCAATCTAGCCGACATTTTGCGTTCTGTCCAGCTTTTTTTAGCTAAAAGTTCGATAAAACAAAGAAGATCTGCGATGAATGTTTGATGGACCCCTCGTTGGTTCGAGTAACGATTAAAAAATCTGTGACGAACAGAGATCTTTCAGACAGGTTGATGAATGAAGAAAATCGTCACAACGGGAAATAGATATTCGAAAACAATTTCATTATAGGGTCGCTCAGTATATTATTATTTTTTATATTATATAAGCTCAATTACGAATGCGGTGAGCATTCGGCAACGTTTATAGAAGCGTCCGTGCCTGTAGCTTTAGTCTGGATAGAATACCCGTGATAGTCTGCCATATTTCTCAGTTCTAGATCTAGATCTTACTGTTCTGTAAATAACGATAACTTTTCTGCTTTTTTCTGCTTTGTCACACAATGTATGCACCGCGGAGATATGGCAACCACTATTAGGCAAAGCCGTGTCGTAAAAGCCTGTCGCGTTTATAATAATTATAACGGACATAACAGAAAACTCTTTCGTTACTCGAAGTTCCTTAGTCAGACGCGTCGCGCCTGACCGACATATCAGCAAATGCCTTTTAACATTACATTAAAATTCATATCAACGTTTCCGAAGGCCTGCGCAAACGCCTACGAAGTCCTTATAGACATCTGCCAAACAGGATGATTAATTTACGTTGGCTACAATGTTCAACGATTACTCTTGTTGATTGACAGCGCGGATACTCACACTTGTCGGAGCTAAAATACCTTTATCCTGAGTGTACCCTGTAGTTCGTTTCAATGGAGGATTTCCTTTCCACGGATGGCAACTTGTAACTCAAGTACTGCCTACTAAGTACTTCGGGTCATTGCACTACTGGATAACCCGATTTCAAATTAGAGGTTTACTCAAAACACAGGCTTGACACAGGGTTTGATAGGCTTGTTTTAAGCATTCAGTCCAGAGATGAGCTTAGAATTGCTAAACAAAGAATGTCATCAGAGGTAACTTGCTTTTCTGCTTTGTCACACAATGTATGCACCGCGGAGATATGGCAACCACTATTAGGCAAAGCCGTGTCGTAAAAGCCTGTCGCGTTTATAATAATTATAAAAATGAAAAAAACATGTCTTCGACAAAAAAGTCGACTTTAAGCTAAATCGACTAGCTCGATATGGAACTGATAACGCTTGGCCGTTTTGGGAATGCACACGATGAGTTAAAAAGAGATGGAAATGATAGACTGGAACCTCTGCGCATAAATATACATAGTAAAATATGAGCACGCTGGCAAATGGGTATTGTGTTGGAAGCAACAAAGACTAGCTGAAATCGTTAAACTATAGTTTTAAGTAGACTGACGTTGCTGCAAAGGTCTAAACCTATGTTGTGAATGTTCCAAAACATCTTTTCCACCCTGCCCTACACACCCAATTCGGCTTTTTCCTCTTGGACCTACGTAGTCCTTAGCTAGTCGATTTACGGATTAATGGCTGCATTAAACAGATATTTTTGTTACTTTTAAATCTAAGTGGCTCAAACGACGCTGCCATTCTAGTCCTTCGAATAGAGTAGACACAGCTAGAAATGGAAAATCATTCGAATCGATCTTAGGACCCTCATTAATCTGGCCAAGTGTATTGTGCATTTAACACTGCTCGATACATTACTTAACGACTAAATCGAAATAACCTGTAGAAATAAAAAAAAAAAAAAAAAACATATAGAAACGCCAGTTTCTTAAAGTCCTACTATAGAGTTGTGGGACTGTCACTCACTTGCTGCTCGTACATGCATATGGCCTATTCGTGTTTTCGACAATTACAAATCAACGCTAGTTTTAACAACTCTGTTTCAGGCAAAAGCTATCGTTGCGTCTCATTAAACACAGCCTAATGAGTAATTTTTCGGAAAACGGATGCAAACGCCTCATTTGTGTTTTATTAGTCAGAGGAAATCTGTTAACATTGTCAACAAGCGATGACTGTTATTCGGTCTAGTCATGTGTATGTTTATTAAGTTAGTTGAAACCACATTATGCAATCAGGTTTACTCTTCTTCAGAAGAAGCTGCACTTTTTCTTCGTCCATAGCTTCTTCGACCGTATACTTATTGTCGAATTCCTGTTTCACCGTAACTGCGCAAGTTTCGCCGTCGACACGTAACACGAGCTGGTACTTCTTCAACTTACGATCGGTTTGCTGTAACGCTCACACACATATTAGACATCCATTATTTGTGCTCTATGTCGCCTCAATCGGCTTCATGTCGACCTGAACGGCCTACAGATAGAAATCAAAGTTAGAATTTGTAGAGGATATAGATTGAAGTGTAGAAAAGGCGTAAGTGATACCGTTTTATTCTAGTTGTCGATAGAGTAGTCAAGCTTCAATCGAGAACATCCGCTAGGCTGAAAAAAACTGAGGTCCATACAGGATTGAGTACTACTAACATATTTATGCAGAAATGCATGTTGTCAAGTTCTTGCTGGCGAAATTGAATTAACTATTATTCAGTATCGATGGCGCAATATAAGAGCCCCTCTTTTTGGCGACAACGTCTCTAACACGAACAACGTCATAAAAGGCTTATAAGCGTTTGAAAGCACGATAGACTTCTAGAACTGACCTCTTCTTCCTTTAAATTCGTTACGCGAATGCCGGGGTTGGCCATGCTGTTGTACTCGCCTGCGGACCCTTTCAGCGCTTTACGGGCTTTTTCTATTGCCAGAATCCAATCTTTGCGTGGTTCCGACGCAGCACGCTCCTCGAAGTCCTAAAAAATTGAAAGGTTACACGTATGGTAATCTTGACCTTCCATGCAATCCTTCTCAGGTCAAGATTGAAATTGACGAAAATTGCTACCCTCAATAGTAGTATCGATCCACTATACAAAAACCCAATATTCGATGCGCTTGTTAGCTCAATTGCAGGATACAGGTAATGAACTTTGAGCGTAAGAGAGTTACCAGCAGTTACTTAAGTGTTATTAGCAATGATACTCTTTCATGGCTGATGACTATCCGAGTCGCTCAGGGTATTTTGCAGAGATAGCGCGTATTTCAATTCAAGTTGCAACTTAGAAATATGGAAGAACCTCCGTTGGGCTAATGAGAATCAAGTATTTTTTGAATAGACTGTTAAGACAAAAACAATTACAATATTTATATATAATATATATATATATATATAAGCGTGTGCAATTTTGCATGTGTATTCGAGGCATGACACAGCATCATACATCTAAATAATCCCAGTTTCAGAGCAAATTCTGTAGAGAATCATGTCCGACATTTACATGATGGGCAAAAATTTCCGTCGGTAATAACATTCCGGTACGCCAAAAATCAGAATATTTATGTAATCTCGCTTCAGAAAAAAATCAGCATGGTCCTTTTCATTTCCAACAGGTAGAGACACACTCGATAAGCGCCTCTATTTTTAGTAACTGCAAATTACATGTTACCGTTGACTTACTTGCTCAGTCTCCTCCGGAACCTCAGAGTCGGGGGATGCTCCGCGTACTATGGCGGCGGTTTGTGGCATCAAGGTGCCCGTGTCGCGCTCCCCATCGCCAGAACCCTCATCATTTTGTAAGGCAGCTTTTTCGTCTGGTGTAGCCAAGCGACAGCCTAGCGTCGTATCCCACAGACAGAACTGCAGCGCAGTGCAATACAATGCTGCAGTAAATTTTCTTCGAAGGCCCTGCATAGCTGGAAATCTAGTAATTAATGGAAAACTTTAATGTACAATATGATCCGTTTGAATAAAGGGGCATTCTCTGCCGTGCATAAACAATAGGTTACGACCAATTAGGCAACATAACCGGTAATAGTAATATATTTTAACTGTGGCCGTGTGCAGATATTTGCAGAATGCGTTTTAGACGCATTCCCGACGAGATTTTTTTTATCATTTTTCCTCAGTCACTTTAGAACGGCCTGCAACTTCTTCGTATTTCGTACATTAATGCTATTCGCCAAATATGTCGTTTGTACACGGGTTTTAATACATGGTTGATTGTGTCGTAGGCTGTACGGTTATCGTATGAGTTTTACCATCGGTTCTGTCTTGCACTTACCGTCCACGCCTAGTTTACCGTATAATAGCTATACTAAAAACGCGCCAGCAAAATGTTTGTCTTCCCAATTACTCGAACTGGGCGTCTCGTGTGGCCACACCCGCGTTTATATTCGACTATATAGTAGGTTCCACCCCGCCGCCATTCCCCGCCCAACAACAACACAGCCCCGCCATATTGTTGTTGTCCGGTGCTCGCCGTATAACTCAGTCCCCATCAGCAGTATTTTGTCATCAAATCGTACCATGTTTGCCCATTTATCGTTCGACTACTGGCTTAGGTATTCCCCTTCAGTTAACGGCGCATTTTCGGTTATGTGCGCGCTTTGTTTTTGCACTTGAATTTTCGACGACGACGACGACACGCTTTTGTCCATTGGTGCAGTTCGGCCGGGTGCCTCTGATCGTGATCTGTGCGGAAGAAGCTAAATTTCCGGCCTGTTAAAATTATAATTGTAATTAGTTGGCTCGCCGGTTGCCGTGAATTTATTTATTAATTTGCTTACCACAGAACGTGAAAATATATTTTATTATGATTTCAATTGTAAATGGTGCCATAAAAGAGAGGACGAGTACCGACGGACAGCTGAAACGTTATAGTTTCTGCGGAAGCTGACGAATTCGTCTGGGAATAGCCCGGGAACAAGCTATGGAATGAGACGACAGCAAAAGCTAAAATCACGTTTCCATGTACACTCACAAATTATGCATTAAGCACAGATTATGTGCCAGGGGAAAAATGCGCAGAGCTGCCTTACAGTGATACTGGTTAGAATTTCTGGCTGGGTATGCATATGCGGGTGGTTCACCTGTCGAATGGACCGAGAAAAAGGTCCTGAGATAGTTGCCTAGCTCTACTGATGAGGACAACAAATTTCTTTTGAAAATGATCTTTATCATTTGTTAATTAGTACATGCATAGGCATCCATGTTCTAGAACTCGGCAAATAAGAAACTTCGATGTTCGTAGTGTTATTTATGTTTGAATTCCGGCGTTCGTTATTCGATATGATAAAACTGTGTTTATTTAGGTAGCTTAATAGGCAATGGCAAAGACGAAGTCCCATCGATGCAGAAGCTCTGCAAAAAGAACGATTCATATCATCGCTCAGTTTTATTTAACTAACTGTAATTATAGCATGTAACATATCTAAAGTGCATACTGTCACAGTGAATTGTATGAAAAAAGTTGAAGTGGCTTTAATAGAATGAAGGAAGAAAGCTAAATCATAGGTTTTCCTCTTGGAGGCCATTCGGGAAGACTTTATTTTTCCTCAAAGATCTGTAAAGCCAGAGTGCAGCGAAGTCAAGATCGTCGAATTTAGCTAAAACCGTGTTAGGACCGCCTGTGTCCTTACTATGCGATAGTTGTGTTTCAATATACATAATACCTCGGGTGTATTTTTTACGCAAGAATGCTTCCATCAAAAACACAATCAATGAAGACACTCGAAGGCGCATAATACTTCGTTCATAGATCAAATCAACGTAAACACCTCAGACTGAACCAGCTCTACTTCTACGCAGTAGAGTTACTACTGCTTCGTATCAATATGGAAAAGAACTCTAAGGCACGATGGTCAAACATGTTGTGCACGCAACTGATACGGAAAAGGTGACTTGGCGTGACGGAACACACGGTCAGCGTACCGGAAGTGCTGGATTTGTCAGCCGCCGCTTAACAATTAAGTTGTTGTCTTTTCATAACACATCTAACCGTAAACTAGAAATCCATAGAAGAATGAATTGCGCCAGCTATTGTCAGCTCTTCGAATAGACACAGATGGGGTTCGCATGTTCGTTTTAGATTTTCTAGCTACAACGATAGGTTTCACAATTATGTGGGGTAACCGATCAAGAAGGCTCTCTACTGTTCCAGAAAAGACTTTGCTGGAAATAGCGCCCTGTATAGCCGTAATGCTGAATGAACTTTTCTTTTCATTGATCCATATTTTTGGCTTATATCGATTTACAACGTTCAGGGATAACTGGAAAGCCGTTAGGGTGAAAACATAGAATCTAAGCTTGTGCGTCTAATTAGTTGTTACGGATAGCACGCTCGTATTTGAAATTAGTGTGACAGAGACGAAAAAAAGCAATACTATTGTGTGCTGGTATTTCTAATCTAGTTAGCACGTAGACAGTATCCTCGTAGTTCTAAACGTGTCCCAGCTGGGTTGGGACTTGAGCATAGTAAAGCTATGAGGACTTTTTGATTTTGTCATTCATCCTCACTTCTGATTAGAATCGAGTGCTAGACCCATAAAATGTCCTTCTTTTTTCATCGTATATGTAATTTTGCAGTAGTAGTAGTAGTAGTAACGCTCCCAATGTCGTCTTTGCCCAACTAATACGCAGCTGTAAATGCAACCAACACAGGAATGTAAGTATAGAATTAAGTTGCTCTAATGTACACGCAGTAATTGTATTCTAATGAAAAGGATCAATCAGGCCCGAACAAAGTACGGTAGGTACATTACGAAATTGGCACCAGCTCTTTTCGTTCAACGTGATGTTACCGGGTGTTGGCAGAATTAGGTAAGCCTATGCGAAAGTAACTTGTTAACATTTCATCGCATTTTTTCGTGGCTGTATAGTAATATGTACTTTGAAACAAAAATTGGCAAGATATGTACTTAGAGACAGAAAAGGATAAACGTCATTTCAAAAGTACATTTTGCCAGAAAAATAATTATCCTGTTGTTTGCTACGACCGTTTGTATAGATTACGCAAAAGCCATTAGAACTTAAACATTGCTTGTTGAAAACATCACTCAAAAGAGTGCACTCCTATATATATATATATATGGGAACTGAGTTAGTAATACCGCGCAGTTGTTGTTACAGATGTAACTTAAGTATCTTTAGTGAACGTATAATATCCATGAATTATTCATCAGTGGCTATACTAGCCAGCTTACATGAATTTGAGCCCAACAGATGATTATAATAATAGCAGAAGTTAATATGACCGACACTCAGTGCTGAAGCTGCATTTCCCCAGACAGTATTGCTTGAAGCAACGACCGCTTTTCGCAGGGCGCACTACGTGCCCGCTCAAATGGTCTCGCCTTGCCGTCATCATGGTTAGCACTACCCCTGAACGGCAACGCTAGCCCATCGTAAAATTCGGTCTGAAACAGGGGGCGAACGTTTTTGGGATAGAAACTATTGGTCCCCTTGATCATATCAGGTCACTTGTTGACTTGCTAGACACACTTTTAAGAGATGCTACGCTTCTGATAGCGATAAGGTGTAAATGAAGATCGACAATGATGCTAACCCCAATAGCGCGTGTATAGCACTATCCTACCTTTAAACGGTTAGCTTACAACGTACCTGACTCCGTTGCAAAATGTCTCTGCTTAGGGTTACCAAATCAGAACACATCACAAACTACGGTCTGTTGTTATGACATCCTTGCTCTGATTTTAGCTCCTTTTAGCGACGTACTTGAAAATAACAAGAAAGCTATTTATTATAACTATACCGACCATTGATCTGAGACACTAATTAGATCTTCCTACGAAACGCAAGTAACAGAGACAGGCCTAAAAACGACTGTATCCGGAGTATGTCTTAACCTAAAGGTTTAGAATATTTCTAAACTTTCAGTAGTAAACTGCCGTCGATCCTTGCGGAACATCTCACTGTAGGCACGATCGGAAGTACTGAAAGAAATGATAAATAAATTTCTAAATTTCCAGTGCTCTCGTTCACCAGGTCGGCAGTGTTTCCAACCTTTGAATTGGATTGGCGCTGTTGAGGCATACTTCTGAAGACATTATAGATGCTCTTTTTTTGTTCAGACTAAATTTAAGTTTACGTTTCGATTAAACAAGCGGCGTATTAAAATTGTCATTTACACTCTTCTATCTATCGTTTCGTTAGCGAACAGCTGGAAACTACTTACAGTCGACGTCGCCGTTAAGAAGTTGAACAATATTCCTTTTCATGGTTGCCATTTCAAGTCAACTTGGCCTAAAAACGTCGTACTGGCCCTTATCAGATTTTAACTAGAGGACCTACCCCAATAACTACTTCAGACCCAGCTACTCCTACTTGTCATGTCGAAGATGTTATGGCGAAATGGTGATAATTCACCAGTTATCTTAGCCAGCTGGATGTTTTTGTTTGACCGAGTCGATACGGCCAGTCTACGAAAACAGGCGGCAAAGCCAGGACTACGAAAGATAATCGTTAGAATAAAGGTTTTCATTGCAGTTGTTTTCATTTGTTTTGACGGTGCGTCATATTTCTAGCAGTTCCGCTGGTGACTTTCGGAGGGTCATTGCATTTTGATGCGGGGAAGCTACCCAACAAATGAATTACTTTCGATGTATTTAAAGGAGGTTCGTAAATGTTGGAGCTCTCGCTTGCCTTAGCGGCTCGGTCTTCAGTAAATAGAGTTGCTTCTGATTGTTTTATATATGCGCTAGAAATCGGTCTGCTAAAAGTTCTCTGTAGGAATCTCATAAACGCATTTCTCATAGAAGGAATGCTTTTGAACGTATTTGAATGAGTCTTTTTGCTGCAGATCGCAAATTCAAGTTTAAGTGACCGCTAGTAAATTTGTACGAAAAAAAATTGTACAGATGCTAAATAAACATTTATGCAGAGGTCAAGGGATTCTGCCTTATATATGTATTATGATATACGAGCTTGTTACTCGGTACAGGTGGATTAAACTGCAATTAAACTTTTGGCACCTGATCAACAGACCACATTGCCATATCGAATAACTTACCATGCCACTAAATATTGCGCTGTTTCTATAATTTCTAAGCTACGCTTGTTCGCTGAACGCCACTACATAATGTATCTAATTGAGTTTGCCATGTGTGTAGGTAACTTGAGTCTAGTTGAGGTAATCGCTAGTTCGAGACCTGCAATGCAACGCATGCATAACATGAACGTCTCATTGACAACTGTATAACAGAGGTTAATGATTAACAAACAGAATAGTAAACTATTTCAACGACGCTAAAACAAATACGTCAGAACGAAATAAAATTCGCGAGTCACTTGGCAGTTGTGAGCCGTAGTGTCTCTACTAAAACTCAATCCACCTTTAAGATCATATATGTTCTTACCAAACATCGTTATATTG